TAAAGGAAGCAATTGTCCTTAATAAATTCCATACTTAAATGTTGCTTTTCTTATTTTTAACTAATTTTGTAATAGTCCCGCCTTGTTATACTCTATAATTCTCCCATTATCCAATATTCAGTTTCAGTTGAGTACTGGCAGGCTGTATACAGCCCATGACTGTGTCCTCTTGTCTGTCTGGGGGCAACTCCCAGGCTGATCTCTCCAGTTGGTGGTTGTTCCTTATCTCCAGACCCTTGAAGCTCACTACCTGCTGTTATCTCTTTCCCACATGCTGCCTGACAACAGTGTAGCTGAAGACAGATCCCTTATCTACCTTTCCATGTTCTGTCCATGTTGCCTAGTGCCAGTTAGATTCTTCTAGTCTCTTGCCATCCATATCAGACACCATGTCCTCCCAGAGGCTGTCCTGAATCACACCAACCCATGGCTCTCCTTCCCCTGGCCAAGTCCGCCACCTTACCTCCCTCACTGCAGTTGCTTAAGAATTAGTCTCTCTGCCTTGCTCACTGCCTTACATATACATGCTCGGACACAAAATCACATATATGCACAGACACACATGCATATAAGCCGTCCCTAGTTCTTGCTTCACACTGTTCTTTCTGAAAAAGAACCCAAAACTCTTCAGTGGCTCACGGTGCCTTCAGACCTAGATCAGATCTTTCATAGGCCTTATCATTAGGCCGGTCATAGAATGTAACATCCACATGGAGGGAGCAACGACATTTTTTTTTAATGAGTTCACTCTTAAGAGTAGAAGAAATATTAATATTAGACCAAGAATGTCCCAGGTAGTCAGGTGGTCTGTTCACCTTTCATAAATGTCTTTGTCACCTGACCCCTACCTGCCTTTCTACTGTGCACTCGAAGCTCCAGTCTTGGGTGTGGCTCAGACCTGCCAGAGTCATCTCTTACCCTACCCGCCTCCACTCCAGCCGCTGCTCAGCCCCACCACCTTCTGTGCCAGTTCTGCTCCATGCCTTTATCACTGTGCTGTGTCATTGCCTGTGCGTGTGTCTCCCCCGATCACAGAGCTCTGTTCTTTTTCTTCAGCTGTAAAAACAATTCTTCCCCTTCTTCTTCCTCCTCCTCCTCCTCCTCCTCCCCCTCCTATTTTCTTCTTTTTCTTCTTCTTTGCACTGGTAGTGACCTAAGCCAGGGCATGTCGAGGCAATGCTCTACCACTAAGCCACATGCCTAGCCCAGAGCATAACCCCTACAGCCTTAAAGAAGCATATTCAAAAGTACAAGTCAGTGTGATTCCCGGCAGTCTCCTCTGCCTCCCACTTTCCCTATTTCAGATAATACTGTTCTGCAGCCAACCTGAGTCTACCACAGTGGCTGGCATATAAAATAAGTGTTTCCTTCAAGTGAAACTGTTTAGCTAGCCACTGTAGAAGAAATATTTTACAAATTTTTAAATATGGTTCTTTTAGGTGTCCATTGTAAATACTTTATTTCTCGTGTGCTTACCCCTTATGCGTCAGTGTAGATGTTTTTGCAGTTTTCATTCAGCATTTGCTTTGCCTATTAGTATTATTAATAATCAGACATTGGGTCTGTGGATACTGTTGTAAACAGACTCAAGCCTCTGCCCTGGAGGAGCCTACCCTATGGTGGAGAAAATGAACAATAAGCCCACAATAAGTCATATATCAAGAAGCCATGGTTGCTCTGGATAAAAATGAACCAGGGAAAGAGGAAGGAGAAGGTGCGCTATATTAGGTAGATGGTGAGAAGAGCCCCCCTGAGGGGACATTTGAGCCACGTGAGTGACTGAGAGAAGACCCTTCAAAGCCCATGGACCAGCAAGCACAAAGGCCCAGAGATGGGACCCGCTGGCGAGAGAAGGGAGTGAAGTCTAGGCCCTTAGTGTTAGATAGGAGTGCAGAAAAGGACGGAATTTAAAGTTAAGAAATAAGAACCAGAGCCAGGCCTGCAACAAGCAAGGAGTGAGTATGTCTTCTTTATTAGAAGACGCCACAGTGGAGGGGCAGAGGCCCGTGGAACCTAGCACCTGCAACCCAGAGAAGACACATTGAGGTTTTTATAAAAAAGCTACCAGACATAGCAACAGCTTGCAGAAGTTAAATCCATGCCAGGCTCTGATGTCCTTAGGGTAATTAAGGATCTTCTTAAGATTATTTTCTCAGGCAGAGCAGGTGAGTTATCTTATGGCACTAAAGGAGATAGGTTGGCTTTGTAAACAATCTCTCTCGGTCCAGGGAGTGACCAGTTGATAAGGCTTGAGCACAGGCCAGGCCACCAATTTAGGACCAGTTGGTCACTTTATAGAATTTCTGTCTTTATGGCTTCCTTTAAAGAAGGTTATGGCTCTCCTTCGATTCACACATTCTATCACTCAATGTTCAGCCAACATGGCCAGGCCTTTGTATTTTACCCTGAATACAAAAGAGTGCCCCCAGGGGACAAAGGGAGGTAGCAGGTGCGACTGTTTTAAAAGGAGAACACAAGACAGGAGGGCTCAACAGAAGGGGACATGGGCGGCTGTGGAAGGACTCAGATGAGCACAGTGGAGGCTTTGCCTGAAATAGTGGTGTTGTAAATATGAGAAGCTGAAGGGCTTAGGATTTACTGTCAGGGTAGAACTTTTGAAAAAAATTGTTGACAGATGTATTCTGTGAGAAAGATAAAATTCAAAAATTAAATTGGCTGGGTTTGGCTCAGCAGCGTGACTAAAGGAATGGTTCACATAAAGACCTTTTAGTCTGAGAGCTTAATTGGTTGGTTGAGGTGCAGGGCTTTGCACACGCTAGGCCAGTGCTCTGTCTCAACTATTTCCCCAATTTCCTCTTATATTGAACTGGAGACCCTCCTGTCTCAGCTTCCTGTGTGCTTGGCCCCAAACCCATCTTTTTTTTGGTCTTTTTGAGACAGGGTCTCCTGTAGCCACAATTGACCTGGATTCACTATAGAGACCAGGCTGGCCTTGAACTCACAGAGATCTGCCTACCTCTGCCTCCTGAGAGCTGGGATTAAAGGCGTGTTACAACATGCCTGGCCAGCCCCCAAGCCCATCTTAAACTGAGAGCTAAAATTAGGGGACATTTTAACATTTAATTGCCCCTAGTCGGGTTCCCTGAGATGAATGAGAGTGTAGAGGCCAAGAACAGCAAGCCCCCCCAAAATGGGAGGCTAGTCCTGCAGGAGGAGACCGGTGGACCGGGAGGGTGGATTGGCCTGTCCTTCTGACCCTCACTCAGATTGGCCACCAAAATCCTAATTGGTATGAGCTGAGTACTTTAATTTACCTTATAATTTTCACACACAGTTTAATTTATTTATGATCAGTTCCTGTTTCCATAGTTTTAGTAGAAATATAAGTGGATTGTCAGCTTATATTATATGTGGAACTCAACTGAAAACTGGTCCTCTGCTGCTTCTGGTGTGGACATGTAACATCAGTGCTTCAGGGGAGGGTAACTCCAGTGCAGTGGGATATATCACTTTAGGTTTTATGGCACAGTGACGTTTTTGAGCATAGGTTTGACCCAGGGTGTAGAAAGTACATTTTAGTAATCACTTGTGTCTTTGACCTCTGGTCTTGGATCTCAGCACCCAGGGTAAATGAGATCTTTAATCTGAAAGAAGATTCTTAATTTGATAAAATTCTGTAAATGTTCATAAATTCTGATCAAGGTATGTGGTCTATCTGTTGTTTTCTAAACTGTGCTAGCCCTTCTATATAAGAAAAGCATTTCTATCCCAAAAATTAAGTCGTTCATAAATATTAATATTTTTGTTAATATTAAGTGGTGGTATTTGCCTATAATCCCAGTGCTCAAGAGGCTGAGGCAGGAGGATCACCAGGAGTTCAAAGCGAGCCTGAGCTCCAGAGTGAGATCCTGCCTCAAAACAAACAAACAAAAAGCGTTCATACTGAACTCAGACTCATTCATCAAGTGTGAAACTACTGCACTTCTTGTGAACACAGTCAAATGATCCTACTCGAAGCAGCCCCAGCCCCTGTCTGTCTCTCTTGTCTGTGATGAATTCTCAAGTGAGCTTGCAAAGTCCTAGATGTTTCTGTCTCTAATCAAATTGCACTGAGAATTCTGAGGAGACATTTGGCACTTACATGGGTGTTAATTCCTTAACAGCTGCCTTTTGCATCCTGCTCTGTGCCTTAGCCTCAAAGAAAACATCAGTGAACAAGAGGCTTTTAGTTTGGCCTTGTTTTCTTGGAGACAGGAGCTGTATAGCAGTCTGGACCTCACCATCCTCCTGTTTCAAACTCCACCTCCCAAGTGCTGGGCTCACCAGCGTGCCCTGCTATCACCACTCTCTCCTCACATCCTGCTGCCCAACCCTGGCCTTCAAGAGAGACATTCCTTACCTCCATCCCTGTGGAGGAAACTCTGAGCAGCTATTTTCAGTTACTTTGTTCCTGCTGCCCTCAGGAGCAAAGTTTTCCTGACTTACCCACACCCCACCCGCATCCCCACACGTCCCTACACCCACTCCAGCTGTCCTTAGGCCCCCATGGTGTCAGCTTACTAAGAAGAGTGCATCCTGCAAGTGACTGCTCAGCTATAATTCTGGGGAATGAAGTCTGTGTGGGTGGGTAAGATTCTCCCTGGTGTGGAGGCTCATGGCCCACAGGAGCCAGGGTACCTCATAGCAGTCTTGTGAGCACAGCTTCCAGGGTTCCCAAAAGGTCATGCCCATTTCTAAGAATCACTGCTCAAAAGAAGCTCAGAGTCATGGTGCATCCACATGAGATGATTGTTCCTCTCAAACCAGTTGTCATTTAATTGGGGGTAATTCACATTTTCAGGAAATAGAGTTAAACATTTGTCACATCTGTCCTGAGAGCATGAGTTGTGTGCCCTTGACATACAGTTGCATTTCTCCTGAATACTGTTGAAGAAAAGCCCAGGTTGTGGGGTTTTTCAGCAAGGCATGCATCACTCATTCACTCTACAGCTTTGGCCTGAGTGCAGACACTCACTGATGCTCTGTTTTTCCTTTTGCAGATTAGTCACCATGGCAAACCTTGGCTACTGGCTGCTCCTCCTCTTTGTGGCCACGTGGAGTGACATTGGCCTCTGCAAGAAGCGGCACAAGCCTGGAGGGTGGAACACTGGTGGAAGCCGATACCCTGGACAAGGCAGCCCTGGAGGCAACCGTTACCCACCGCAGGGTGGCGGCACCTGGGGGCAGCCTCATGGTGGTGGTGGCTGGGGACAGCCCCATGGTGGTGGTGGCTGGGGACAGCCCCATGGTGGTGGTGGCTGGGGACAGCCCCATGGTGGTGGTGGCTGGGGTCAAGGAGGGAGCACTCACTGGAACAAACCCAGTAAGCCAAAAACCAACATGAAGCATGTGGCAGGTGCTGCCGCAGCTGGGGCAGTAGTAGGGGGCCTTGGTGGCTACATGCTGGGAAGTGCCATGAGCAGGCCCCTCATCCATTTTGGCAATGACTATGAGGATCGTTACTACCGGGAAAACATGTACCGTTACCCCAACCAAGTATACTACAGGCCTGTGGATCAGTACAACAACCAGAACAACTTTGTGCACGACTGTGTCAATATCACGGTCAAGCAGCACACAGTTACCACCACTACCAAGGGGGAGAACTTCACTGAGACCGACATCAAGATGATGGAGCGTGTGGTGGAACAGATGTGCATCACCCAGTACCAGAAGGAGTCTCAGGCCTATTACGATGGAAGAAGATCCAGTGCAGTGCTCTTCTCCTCCCCTCCTATGATCCTTCTCATCTCCTTCCTCATCTTCCTGATAGTGGGATGAGGAAGTCATCCTGCTCGCACCTTCTTGTTCTTGTGGTCCAGGCTGAGGGAGGTGGGGATCCACCCATAGCGCTTTTAATTAAGGTGGAGGCTCATTCTCACTTCTCTCTTTGTCCCCCATAGGCTAATATACTTGGCACTGATGAGCCCAGGAAATGTACAGTAGCCTGGATGCTATTCACTCCAGATTCCTTTGAGTGTGTCCTTCATGGGCCAGTGCTAATGGCAAGCCAGCAAGAATATAACAGCAAGTAATCCTGGTTAATCTAGCATTGTGTTGGTCTAGGGCAACAGGTTAAGGCTAAAACAGATCTCAAAACAGTCTTCAAGGACCTTTGTCTGAATACATCTGATTCCTTAAGCAACCAGAGCTCAGGACACAAATGCCCCCAGCTTAGCAGATTTCATAGCAGTTTGGAGAGTTTTTTAGCCCTTTTAAGAAAACCTGACAGCATTCCTAACAAATTTGGAAATGGGCCGCATGACGCTCATTCGTACACAGAAAGCAGGAAAGATCAGGCCGCTGAAGCCTGTGCCATGTGTCTGCAGGGAGCTGAAGCAACAGCTGCATCGAATAAATACTGGTGTGACCCCTGACCTACACCCAGAGGATGTAGTGACAAGGGACTCACATAACAAAAGGTTCTACACCTGTAAAATCCACTGTTCGAGCATAGTGTCGTAGGAGACTGCCTTCCATGTAGAGATGTTTAAAGCATCCATGTATGACATTCTTTTCCATAGTAACATGAACTGTAGCCAATTAAGGCAGCAAAAAGAATTACATTATCCTCTAAACACCAAAGGCAAACCTTTGTTCATTTCCTAGGAACTAGAATGATTTTCTTTTAATGTTGCTTAGGTGGAACCAGGAGATTTTGACTCTGAAGGAAGCTATAAACTGCTCAATGAAGAAAGTGACCAGGTCACAAGGTCAAGACGCCCTTGAATTTCTTCATTTCTGTCTCCTAACTGTCCAAAACCTTGGTTTCTGTGCTGGTTTGATTCAGATAACAAAGAGACAATCTGAAAATTCTCTTCAGTTGCAGATGACAGAGATATGCTCCATTCAGAATGGGGAAAAGAAATTCTGTGTTATTTAAGGAAGGTAAAATTACCCCGAATTGTTTAATCTTGTCACTGAAGAGATTCACATTGCTACTCTGCAATACTGTTGGCTAGCACTGTGCCCATATTCTATGTGAAATATATAAAATACAGTTACAAGCTTAGGTGTTTTGTTTACAGCATTGCTGTGTTTAACCCACTGATCACTCCATAAAGTACTAAGTGCTTACCACGTGTGAAGCTTTTGTGTAGCCCTTAGGCTTTCAATGCCCGCTGAGTAGTTTTGTGTAAAAATCCAAAGTGGACCCCGAACTGCTCTTTGAAATATGCATGTATTTCCTATTTTCTATATTTGTAACATTGCATGTACTTGTTCTGTCATATAAAAGGTTTCTAACTGTTTGCTACCTGACTGAAATTAAACAGGAGCTGCGATGAGCGCCCTGCAGGCTTTGTGCTGTTTGGTGGCTCCGACGCTGTGTGGTTGGCAGGGTGGCTGGGGCTTGCCTGAGCCGGGTAGCGGCCACCTTCACACACCTGCCCTGACCGCCTCCACCCTCACCTTTGACCACGCTAGTGTACTTGCCTTCTCGTTGTTTTCTCCAAGTATCTCCGTGTGCTCAGCCCTGGTAAACTATAAAGGCACTTGGCAGGGGTCGGGGGGTTGGTTCTTACTTTGGAAGCATTTTTCTGTCCAGATTCAGATCTGTCATTCTCCCCCCCCGTTTTGTTTCCATATAGGTATGGCACTAGAGCTTGAACCCTGAGCCTCATATATCCTAGGCAAGTTCTCGCCTACTGATCCTCTCACTCTAGAAACAAAATTTTTTTTTCTTTTTCTCTAACGGAGAATTACATAGCCTAGGCTGCTCTAGAACTCACTGGGTAACCCAGACTAACCTTGAACTCATAGCAGGCCTTCTCCAGCTTCCTAAATATTGGCATTACAAGGATGAGCTCCCATGCCTGGCTTAGAAATAAATTTTTTGATGGAAATGAAACTTAAGCTCTAAGGTACCCATTTTTTTACCTCCATAACGCAGGCTCTGCAATCTCGCATTCAACCTTTCGTCCCAAAAGGCCAGTTTGTTACACTCTTGCAACTCATTCTCTGCAGGTGCCTCCTTGTAAGTACAAGGCACTGGTGCTATGGTGTTCTTGGTTGTCTTTAGTAGAAGTTTTCGTGAACAGCTGTCATGTACTGAAGGCAAGAAGTAGTATGGGAGCCATACTATTCACTCTCACAGATACCCATGCTGTAAGAGTCAACCCAGTGGTGGGCCTTTGAGCATCACCCCAGTACTGCTGAGGAAATCCCACTCAGGGAGGCCTATGGAGTTAAAGCACTCATGATTCTCACAGGCCATGTAAGGAGAACTCTGATGGAGCCACTCCACCAAGCAGGAGGAGCCAGAGACAAAGGCTTAGGCAAGAACCTTTGCTGGAGACAGGGGAGGAGTCCACAGTCAGAAGGCATAGGGGGAGTTTATTAGTGTGTTTGAGTACCACTGGATCAGAGCCAGGGGATGAGAAGGACGAGTCAGACAGAACGGCCCTTACCACCCCTGAGTGCCTGGGAATGTTGAGGCATCAGGAAAATGCAAAGGTCTTCAAATGTACACTACCAATGCCAGTATCCTGCAGTAATCAGAGCATCAGGAAAATGCAAAGTTCTTCAAATGTATACTACCAGTGCCCATATCCTGCAGTAATCAGAGCATCAGGTTTGTCCTAAAGATGAAAAGAGTACACCTTGAGACACCCATAAAGCTGAAAGCCATACAAGATCTTGGAAGTATGACTTAACCTGAAAACAGACCTCAAAGTTGATCCTTTTCACCTTTTTGCCATTTTCCTAATTATTTAGAAATAAACTCTTCACTGTCTGACAGTTATAACTTCTCATAGACATGAAGAGATAACGTGAAGCCAGAGAGCAGCACCATTGTCTGGATCTTTCCCAAACTCCCAAGTTTCCTGCCTCTCTCCTGACTCCTATGAGTTCTGCACATCGAACTTTTTCCTTTAAAAATTAAGTAAAGCTGGGTGTGGTGATGCCCACCTTTAATCCCAGCACTTGGGAGGCAGAGGCAGGAGGATCTCTGAGTTTGAGGCCATCCTGGTCTACATAGTGAATTTTGGGCCAGCTGAGGCTACTGGAAGATCCTGTCTCAAAAAGACAAAAAAAAGCGAGTAAGTCTGGGGAGATAGCTCAGTCCGTAAAGTGTTTGCTATGTAAACATGAGGACCTGAGTTCAATCCCCCAAACATAGATTTTAAAAAAAAAAGCTAGACATGGTGTAGTGCACTTATAATCCCAGCATTGGGGAGGGAGAGACAGGTGGATCCTCAGGGTTTGCTGGACAGCCAGCCTAGCCTTCTTAGCAGGTTCCAGGCCAGTGAGAGACCCTGTTACAAAAACAAGGTGGAAGAGCTGGAGAAATGGCTCAGGGGTTAAGAGCACTGGCTGCTCTTACAGAGACCTGGGTTTGGTTGTCAGCACCCACTTGGCAGCTAATAATAGTCCATAACTCCAGGTCCAAGAGATCAGACATCCTCTTCTGACCTCCGTGAGCACTGTACAACATGGGTCCACTTACAAACATGCAGGCAATACACTCATACACATAAAATATAAATTTAAAAAAAACAAGGAGAGTTTTTCCAGACCTGCTATGTATGATTAATGCAGCTCTGAACTCCTTATCCAGCAGATGGTAATTATCACAGAGGCCCACAACTGGCCAACATGCCGACAGCAAGAAGCTGCAGGGCGCTTATCCCCGAATAGGACACCTACATCAAACTTGCCTCCCAAAGCTCATCGACCATTGTGGAAGAGAGGTGGAAAGATTGTAAGAGCCAGAGGTGGTGGATGGCCACAGGAAACAAGAGTTTTCCAGACAGCTGGGCAGTGACTCATGAACTCACAATGGTTGACAGCATCCACAAGTCTCACATAAGCTCAAGCCAGACAAAATCCCAGCATAAACATACACAAGTCAGTAAGAAACCTCAACTTTACCTAAGGAACTTGGCAACCAGTGACTGCAAGGAGGGGGTGAGTCATTCTCATTTAAGGGTGAGACTCTTAGTAGGCTGACCAGGCTCCAGTGGATGAGCCTACACCAAAGGGCACTTGAAGACACAAATAAAGTCATCACTTCTTATAAATGTCCCAAGTCATAAAAATGCCTTTAAGTTCTCCATTAGGGTGAACTGGTTGTGTTATGTCATCCCAAGGCACCTCTAGCACCTAGACGTCAGTAGATTTTCACACTGGCACCTTTCAGCCCACTCACCACCATACACAGCCATTCATCTTCCTAAGGATCTTCTTGACGAGCTTCTAGAAGGTGACCAGTGCTATAGAAATGTCTTATGGCCTACACACTAGTCAAACTTTTCATCACTGCCACAAATACCTGAAAAAAACAGTTCAATGGAGGAAAACTGTGCTTTGGCTCACAGTTTTGGAGGTTCCAATTCATGAACTCTTGGCCCCATTACCATGAGTCTATGATAGAGCAAAGTATCATGGTGGAGAGAGCATAGTGAGCAGGCTGCTCACCTCATGGTGACCAGGAAGCAGAGAGACAGGAAGGGGTGAAGAATAAAATGTCCTCTTCAAAGACACACTGCCAGAGACCTGCCTTCTCCAAGAAGGCCCCACCTCCTAATAACCCATTCAGTATGAACTTATTAATGGATTAACCTGTTGATGAAGCTTAGCACCATCATGATCCAGTCACCTCTGAATGACTGCATCTACGAGTTAGGGACCAAGCCCTCAATACATGAGCCTTTTAGGAGAACACCACATGTTCAAACCATAACATGGCTCAGATTGTTAGGATCCCACCAACCAGGTGACCAAAGTATACTTATTCCTAACAAGGAATTTCCCAACATTTGATTCTAAAATCTGATCATCAGAGCCACTGGTGGTCTACCAACTTAATTTTAAAAATTACAGTAAAACACAATTTAAAGCTTAAAATACACATATCATGTTCTCATGCAATAGAATGTTACACAGCAACTGAAAACTATGTTCCAGAAGTGTTCGTTTCATGTGGAAGTCTAGATAGCAGAATTTTACATAAAAATCAGTGCTAATCTCTAAGGACAGGACATACATATTTTAGAAAACAAAGAAATGAAACGCAGTGAAAAAGTCTGGAGGTGATCGTAACCTTTATGTTAATGGTGGTTATCACTGGATGCTGAATAACAAGTGACGTTTTCTATCCTCCCGTATGTTTTCATATTCCAAAAAAATTTAGTGTGATGGCTAATTTTACAGGTAAGTGTGACCGCTAGGTCAAGGGGTGCCCAGACTAAACCTTTTTCTGGGTGTGTCTGTGAGAGTGTTTGTGGCTCATGTTAATGTTTAGATCATAGACAGCATAAAGCAAAGGGTCCTCACCAATATGAGTGGGCAGCATTCAATCCCTTGAGGGCTTGACAAAGGTGGAGGAAGGAGGAATTTGACCATTTTTTCTACCTATCTGCCTGCTTTAGCTGAGGAGTCAGTTTCCTCTGCCACAGAACTGGGGTTTATGTGGTATGGTGCCCAGTGCTTGAACTTGGACTAGAAACATACCCTGCCTTTCCCAGATGTTCAGCTTGAAGAATGCAGACTTGGAACTTGTTAGCTCCCATCATTGGATAAGCCAATTCCTCATAATGACTCTCTTCATGTATATATATTACATATATAACATATGTATATATTTACATATGTATATAATACTTATGTCTCCGTTTCTCAGGAGAACACTGACTTTTTGCAGTGAACAGATATTGCTCCTATAAAGAAAAGATTATCAGTAGCTGGTTTTTTTTTTAATTTTTACCAAAACTTTACTGAGAATTTCATACATGCATTTAAGGTATTTTGATCAAATCCATGCCCACTCCCTCCCCTCCAACATTACTCCCTCTGAAGAGGTAACCCTAAAAACTTTTAAGGATTAGATACAAGCTCCAAAATACTTTTGACATTTTTGGCCTTGGAACAGAGTATGTTGCTAACAGGCCCAAGGACATTTTGGCTTTTAGCCAAGAGTCTGGCTATATTTCTTTAGGGTCTTTTTACCCTAACTGCCTAGCCAATTCTTACCTCCTATTCTTATCATGCCATCCTTTGAAGGGGTTACCCAAATTGCCAATAGAGAATAGGGATGCCGACCGCTCTGCCTTCTTCCATACTGAACAGGGACGCAGTGTGAGGCAATTGGAGTACCCCTCCAGTGGGTCTATCTAAAAGACTCCTAAGTTGCATAACTCTTATCTGTAGGGGGAAGAGAAAGTCCTTGAATCATGAATACAGAATGTGAAGGCGAACAAAAGGCAAGAGTAATTAGCATTTCAAGTCAGAGACAGGGAACTAGAAAAAGTCAGGACAGGGCAATTTTCAAATGTCATATAAGAGTCCTTTGGAAT